AGTGGCCATGGTGATGACGGTTTCCAATCCGGGTAACGTGCCGTGTTGCCCTGGACTGGGAAGTTAGGAGAGGAAGCCATTGGGGTTGGGGGGTTTCAGGGTGTGAGACGAGCTGTGTCTGCTTTTGGATATGATGCTCTGAAGAGACGGAAAGATGGAAAGAAATCGAGGTGAAAATGTTTAACTCTCAAAATTAACGATCTAGGGAGCGAGTGAAAACCAAACTCCCTTCGTATCTACTAGGAACCACTGTTCCATCCCCTGAATAACAGAAAGCATCATAGTCTCAGCACCTGCCAAGCTTCTTTCAGAGTCCTGCTACTTCACAGCGTAATCTGATAATTAACCTGCCTCTTCAGTTCCTGGAATGCAGAAAGGCCCTAAATAATATGTGTGAATTGAATTGCTTCATAGTAAGCAAGATCTCACCCTCGAGGAAGGCGGAGAGAAAAGAAAAGTGCATTTGGAGTCTGAAAGGCCCCAGGAGGAAGTCTTGCCCCCTCTCTCCCTCCTCTCTTAGTCACGGGGCCATGAGCAAATTGTTAGCCCGCCTCTCAGACTCCTTAGCTGCAAAATGCACAATCAAACCCACCTTGCAAGAGGCTGAGAGAGCTTAAGTAAAATGCATGCAAAGTTCCCATCACCCAGCAGGCACAAAAATTAAAGCGCTGATGACATTGAGTATTATTATCTTTGTTACCACGCCTTCTTGGCGTTGCCAGGTTTCTCACGTCTCGCTTTATCCACCTTCTCGCTTCTCACATTCCATGCAGGCGATCCTGCTAGCGGCTGTCCTCCTGGCGTGGCCTCCCGCCAGCCAGCTTTCCGAAAGCCCCCACGGGCCCTAAGCTCGTCTGCACATGGCTGGCTGGTCCGTCAGTTCAAATCGCCCCAACTCAACTGACATCACCACAGCTTGCAAATTCCAAAACCGCTGTGAGTGCTTTAGATTTGGTCATGTTTACGCCTGGTCTACAAGTTCTACGGCGGTGTCCTTCTTTATCCACGACCGGCACCATGTTTGAAGCAGCTTCACGGTCTGGCATTTGAACACACCGCTGAGAGAGGCTGGCGTGGCCCTCAGAAAACACATATGAAGTGAGAAAGCTACGTCTGCATACTGTTTACTTCCAAAAGGTGACTGGGAACGCGGGGTGCAGAGATAGCAGGATTACTTGTCACCCTTGAGAAAGGTGGTTCAGACAGAGGGATCGCCCACACGGATGACTGACCCACTGGCTGAGGCACTGCACGAGGCACACGTATCTCTGAATGAAGTTGATTCTCTAAGTCTCACGCGTTCTACATGAACGATTAAAGTGTTTTTGTAATCTCCACTTTTCCACGCCCTACAGTCCGCCGCTAACTATGGCAATTTCTAATAGGAAGGACATACTGGATATTGCATATCTGTGTGTGTGTGTGTGTGTGTGTGTGTGTGCGCATTCTATGCCAAATGCCACAGATGGATAGTTTGTGCCCTCATCTCCAATGCAACCCTATATGGAGACAGAGCCTTTGGGAGGTAATTAGGTTTAGATGAGGTGTTGATGGTGGAGCCCCCATTATGGGATTAGTGCCCTTTTAAGAAGTGGAAGAGACCACAGTTTGTCTTGGCTTCGCCACATGACGACACAGCAAGAAGGCAGCTCTCTGCACAGGAGAAAGCAGGTCCTTATCAGACACTGAATCTGCTGGCACTTTGATCTCGGACTTCCTGCCTCCAGAACTGTGAGAAATGAACGCTTGTTGGTTAAGCCACACTGTCTACGGTATTTTGTTATAGCGCCTGAGCTAAAACAGCCAGAGAACATACCACCGTCCTGCCCGCGAATACAGATTGCGGACGGGTTAGAAAGGAGAAGGGTTACCCTAGAAATGGTGAGGAAGGCCAGAGTCCACCCCAGAGGAAGTCACCATAGCCCCGAGGAATTTGCTGTGGTCACCGACAGGGCACCCTGCCACACCACACCAGAGCCTTGCCCTCATTTTCCATGGTGATTCAGTCAGCAAGCAGCACCACCTCATTGCCCTGGGATCAGCATTTTAGGTGGGAGTAGGGCCCACCCTCGCCTCCTCCCCTGGGGAGATGGCTTTTTTCTCATCCTAAAAATGCCAGGCGCACTCACAATGGTGACATTTGCTGAGCAATGGCTTGGATCAAGAGCTCTCATGGAGCAAGAATAAAGGAAGCCCACAGCAGGGGAGCTATGCAGCAAAGGTCCTGCACCTTGACCTTGGCTGTGCCACTTGCCAGAGCTCTCTGAAATGAGGTCAACAAAATATTACCTAGCAGAGGCTTGTACAGAGAAGCGGGGATAAACCCTTAATTTGGTCCCAAACTATTTTTCTTAAATGCCGGGTAACCTCCAGTACCACACCCACAGCCTTCACCCACCCTCCCACTCCCCCCAGAAAAAGGGGGAAGGATTTTACCATTTTTCTCCAAACTATCCACTATAGACTTTTACGGTGGTTTTGCAGTGAATCCATCTGGTACTCAATGTGTCCTCTAAACACACAACAACAACCACAACAAAATTCCATGATGTTTCAATTGCTGCTTAATTAACCACAGTAAGACTGTCGGGCCTTTCCTCCCTTCATCTCCCTTTGGGGGTAAGCACTGTATTCTGCATTTACTAATACCGCAACCATGGCCCTTTACCTAGAAAGATTTGGGCGGCGGAATTCGACACTCCCTGGTGCCCTGGACCAGAAGGTTTTTGCTCTGTTTGCTCTGTAGACAGTTTTATCTCCCTCACTGGAAGACCAATTGCACTAATTCTTGGAAAACAGGCCAAAAGGACCGGTGACATTTCCCAGACAAGTCCCCAGAATCCCGCAATGTGCCTCGCTGAACCAAAATGAACACATAAATCTATTTCCCCCAAACATTCTGTCATTTGAGTTATATAATTGCCTTTCATTAATCAGGTCGGAGCTTTAAAGCAACACCTAATTAATTCTATAATTGGCACAGATTATGCCTTTAATGACTTCCACTATAGCAGAAAAACCAATGATCTCTCAATTTGATTTTGAAACTACGGACGGACGCCGGGTTTCCTCTTTCACCCAGAACTTTCAGATCTTGTTAAAACTCGGGTGTGGTTTCACGGGGGGGGGGGGGGGGGGCACTGAGGGGAGCCCAGAGGGAAGGGTGGGAGGGAACTTTGCAAGAACACCCTTCCCCGAGGGCGTTCGTGATGCCAGAGACCGGTGTTTGGCAGCTCTCTGGGGTCTGCAAGAAGTTTCCTGCTAATGGGAAGTCCGCGCATCTGGAGCAAAATCGGGCTTGCGCGAGTTCTGAACAACTTAGGGGTGCTCTAGGATCCTCGCGGGCGAACCGCACACAAGAAAGAGGAGGCCCGACTAGAAGTTGGGTAAAACTTAGAACCAACAGGGAGTGCGCGGCCCGAGGAGACTTGAGTCAATCTCGTCTAACGGTTTCCCGAACCGCTAGGAGCCCTCAACCTCGGCGGGCAGCAGGGCTCCGGTGACTCACTGCCAGTGACTCAGCGACCCCACCCCTC